CAGAGCAGGGAGCCTGATGCGGGGCTCCATCCCAGGACCCTGGGATCATGACCTGAGCCGAAGGCAGACGCTTAACTGACTGAGCCACCCAGGCACCCCTAAGACATTCTTTATTGAAAAGAATAAGTAGAAAAGATAGTGTAATTCCTTACTGTCTGGGAACTATAGCTGACAACAGAATTCTTCTGAAATTGTCTCCCATTTACAAAAATAGGCATTGATATAGATGACATAGATTAACTAGAGGTGATGATACAGATACAAAATAGATATACATATGAAAAAAATTTTGTGAAAAATAGTCTAACTTCACCAGTAAATATTATGAATTTAAAATAAGAGTTATGTTTATTAGGCTTCATACTCAAATTATAAAATCATAATTTAAAATTTTAAGTAATTACAATGTAATGTTACCACTTTATTTGTATGGGGGAAAAAAAAACCTGATTTTAAGCATTTGAAATCTGGAGCCCATATATAAGTGACATTGTAGAAAATACCCTAAAAGAAGTAAAGTGTTAGGATAAAGGAATCTCAAAAAACAGTTGAGAGGAAATTGCATTATTTGGAAAGAGAAAATACAGCAGAAGTAATGCCTATAAATACCTACAGTGTCCAAGTGATTTAAAGAAAAGAAGTGAAGAAGGTGTAAAAAAAAAAAAAAAGATCATAAAGGGTTGGAAGCAGAGCCAACAGGAGCAAGAATTTATCTCAAGAGGACTTTAGTCCTTGAGATTTACACTAGCCAGTGTTTTCTTTGCTATTACAGTCCCATTGCTCCCAAAGTTTTTGAGTCTTTATTAGAAATCTAAAATCTGGACTTATTGTGTGAAATCGCCCAGCTTTTATAAATGGTAGCAGTCATTGCCTACCCAGAATCCACTTCACTCCCATCCTTCCACACAAAACTGAGGTGTAAGCCCAATAGTACTTAGGATCCTCCAGGTTACAATTGTTAGTCTGCCCATAGTCACATAACCTAAGGACATTAAAAATCTAAACAAATCAGTGACAGGAAGGATAAAAAATAGACCTAAGAAAATGGTTTTTAAAAAAAAACCCACTAGAGAAAGATAAGCAATAAGGAGAACATATAAACAGATATTTTGGAAAGAAAAAGAAAGAGAATGATAGATTAGTACATTTCCCATAATCTCCAGAGTTAAAGCAAGACCAGTGCCCCCATTTGAATTGATTCAGAGGTTTTTACAAGGGAAAAATTGATGAAATAAACCCATACCTAGACAAAAGTTTTGGCAACATATTTGAACTAAGAAAATTAAAAGGACAAATAAACAGCAAAAGTACAAATAAACAAAAAAGCATTCTAAAAAGAAATTAATTACAAAATGTAAATATGATGTTCTAAGACATTTTCTTCTCCCGTATTAGATGCCAAAATACAATGGGAAAATTACTTCAAAACTTTTAAAAGTTGCAACTAAAGAATTTTATAAACAAATTCTAACAGTAACATATTTGATTATTAACAGATTTAATACTTACTGGAAAAAAAAAGTACTTGAAGAATTTGTTCAAAGGTACAGAGTTCCTTAGCATAACTATTATAAGATAAAAAACAAGATGGCAAGAACAAACCATTGGATGAGTGGAAAAAATAGACAATTATTTGGTTATATGAAGGTAGAAGAAATAATATGTGATTGAGAAGAAAAGATGTATTTCAGGGGATCCTAGTGGTTCAAAAACTTGGAGCTGATAACACAAATCAAGCAAAGACTAGGGGGTAATGTCACAGTAAAACAAAATGTGGAATGACCCTTGCTAAGCTATGTAACTCTTTAATGGAGTTTATAGTAAGATGAATAAATTATATCTACAAGATCCACAAACAACTTCCTAGCTAAATACTATATGGTACGTAACACCGTGGAGAACTAGCTCAAAGCAGAGGCTGAGTATGCATGCATATCTCCCTTCTACCTACATTTCCCAGCTGATTTGCTGCTGTTTGTTTCTATTGTGAACAGTATTTTATATGTTCTAGCTGACCACTGCTGAGACACAGAAAGGTTATGGATTTTTGCTGTTGAATTTTAGTTAAGCCAAGTTACTGAATTCTTTTATTAGTTATATATACTTGTAGTAGATTCTATTGGTTGGCCTATGTGGACAATCATATTACCTGCAAACAGCCAATATTTTCCTTTGTCTGTTGAAATAGTTTTACCACTTAATTTTATTTTCTCCCTAATTACATTGCCCATAAATTACTATTGTCAAATAAAATTCCTTCGGAAACATATTTACAGTTTTCAATGTCTAAATCTATACACTCAATTGATTTCACTGTTCAACTCATAATTTTTGAGAATTTGATTTTTTAAAAGACTGGTTTTGATTCAAAAGTCAGTCAGCTGAGGTGAATATTTCTATTTGTTATGTTTTAAAGATAAATTTTGGAAGTCTACATATCTGAGGCTAACTTCTTATTTGCCCTCATACATGAATGGCAACTAGGCTAATTACAGAATTTTTTTTTAAGATGTTATCTGTTTATCAGAGAGAGAGCATGAGTGAGAGAGAGAGAGAGCAAGAGCAGGGGGAGCGACAGGCAGAGGAAGAAGCAGGCTCCTCACTGAGGAACGAGCCTGACGTGGAGCTTGATCACAGGACCCTGGGATCATGAGCTGAGCCAAAGGCAGATTTTAACCGACTGAGCCACCCAGGCATCCCTAATTACAGAATTTTTATAGTGGGTAATTCTACATCTGAAATGAAGGGTTATCAAATGAATACTTATAAAGTAAGTAAAAATGATTGTATTTTGCACACGTATTTTCTCTGTACTATGTGAGGAAGTCAAAAATTAAAGCATTAGATCATAGTTTTCCAGAAATAAGTAAAGGAAATCACTTTGAATCTTTGAAGATAGTTTTGAAAACTCTGAGTCCAAAATGATGAATCTCATTTTCATAATGTCCTCTAGAGAACTGAAAGAAAGGCCATTTATATTAGCAAACTCTGGCCTGTCAAATCTAACATTTTCAGAACATATATATGTGTGTTGTGTGTGTGTGTCTCTCTCTATATATATATTTGTAGTTATGTCATTGAGAATAATAGTATTCTTGGTGAATATCAAATGGTAGTTTTTCATGGAAAATGCCCTTTTTGATACAGTTATGTGGATCATTGTACTATTGGAAGTCAGATTTTGAATGTGTCTAATACATGTTGGCCCATATTTTATCTATTGGTTATATTTTATTTGTAGTATTTGTAGTACTTTCAGAAAGGGAAGTTCTACCATCAGTGAAAATGTTTGTGGTTTCTTCTTTGAAGGCACTGTTTTTGTGTGCATAGGTTGTCTTCCATCTACTCCTTTTCAACAGTCCACAGAAGCATCACCCATTCTATCTTTTGTCCTAATGAAAGAATTTCTCAAAATGAGTCTGTGACCATCTTCATACATGAAATCAATCAACATGATAATTTATAGGAGTCCTTCCATTTTAAGAAAATTCCAGGCCTGCTTTCTCTTAAACCTAGTGTGAATATGTTTTTATTGCATTTCACATACTTAGTATACATCAGCTCGAATCTGTAAGATTATCTGTATGTTTAAAAAAATGATTGTTTTTCATGTGTTTGCTGATCATAAGTGTTTCCAAATTAGAATACAAACCAATAACTGTGGGTAAATGTTTTGTTATTTGATGAATTAAACAACCACTATATTCTTTTTAACATCACACTAGAGTATGATTTCATTTTTTATAAAGAGGGTGATATTGTCAATGCCATCTTATATTTTTATTTGAGTATTACTGTGGTACATTTACTCCAGATTATAATGTCCTTGCCACAACCTTGTGCAGTACCTAGATGACTATGATAGAATGTGAAATTTTAGAAACAGTTCCTGGTATTTGGGAACTTCAAATCTATCAAAATATTAAAGAGGATAAGTGGATTTGTATTATTACTACAGTGAGATAAACAAATGTCAGGTGGTCAAGTCTTCTTATTTCATATTTAGAAGAAAATCTGTTACTTCTACATTAGTTAAAGAGAAAAATAATCTATTTCTTCTATAAAAT